GGGTCCCGTACGATCTTTGTGTATCGTCCCTTCTGCAGAACCTCTTCGATCTTCTGTTCGTAGAGAACGGTATCCATTACCACAGTAGCGTTTCCTTTATCTGCAGGTAGGATCTTGATGGTGTTGTCTCTACGTAGGCCGTTCAGAGCTCTACGTTCTTCATTGCTGATGTTAGATGTTGGAACTGGTTCTCGATCCAGCTGTTCTCTAATTTTCCATCCGAACTCTTCTGCCTCGGTCTAGTCAATAAGGGAACTGGTGGATTCCACTGCAGTAATTATCTCCAAAGTGGGCACATATGTTGGCGTAATGACGAAATTTAGGCCTTTCCTCAACAAGGATTCCTCTATTATCGTGAGCGGGCGGGAACTCACGTTGATGACGTTGGCGGCTTCATAGTTGTCCTGTTTTCGGTTTGTATTTGGGCATTGTTTCCTAACTAACTTCCCCCACTTTCTGTTGTGGATATTCTTCATGTCTTGGCGGATCTTCAAGCATGTGCTTCCAATCTTGGCAAAGATTGGTCCATGATCATCTTCCAATGTTTCTCTTCTTATTTCTTCAAATCGTTCCGGTGCAGGATGCCACGGATACATCAGAAGATTGTCGGAGAGGATAAGAAGAATTAGTTCCAAGTACAACATCAGAACCTGCTTCAGATCCGGTAACACTATCCGTAGCAGCCTCACGAAAACCAGGCCACCAAACGTGGACTGCGATTCCAAGAATTGCATTTACCGGATACCCTGTGAGTGCGGAAAATCCTATATTGGTGAAACTAAGAGGCCATTGAATGTTCGCATTGCCAAGCACAAAAAACACACACAGCGAGCGGAAACCAGCAAATCAGGAATAGCAGACCATGTTTGGATCCATCAACACAACATTGAGTGGTCCCAAGCTGAGAGAACATTGGTACAGGAGAAAATTCAAGGAAGCCGCTTACATGTTGTCCAACAACGTATTCAGCCAAGCCAGCGTAGAAATACGTAACATATAGAAACCCATCATCATGCGATAAATGGTCAACTCCCGCCGAACGGTCATCTCCCACGGAACCAGTGAAGCGGAAAATGGAAAGTGGGAATAAGTGAAAGTACTCGAACGACCTATAAATAGTCATCTCTCGGAGGAATCAGTCCAGTCATCACCCGAAGACGATTGTAGATACTAACAATCGAAACGTCGTGAACTAACGCTACTTGGAATCTCTTAACTTTTTATTTTCAGTTTTCATTTCTTTATTTTTTATTCATTCAATTGTTCTATTTTTACTTGTATTTTATTTTACTATTACTTCATTTCAGGTTTATTTTGCTTAATATAATTGTTATTTTCAGCTATTCAGTTTTAATTATTTTTTTTTTAGTTGTTTCAGGGATTTCAAATCATTTTATATAGTAGACAATGGAAGTCCGAACTAGTGAAATTCACAAGACAACTAGTCGAAACTGAAGCCCAAAAAAAAAGTATTCGTGATCAACACTAGACAGCGCTATTTCGACCCGCCATACCATGTAATAGATCGACAATAGACTTACTCCACGAATATAAAAAATAAACGAATCCCTCCAAGGCGGTCAGTTGCAAAGCCATGCTTCGATTTTGACCATCAAACGATATTCGTCTTCCAGTTTTCAATGCAACTTTTTTTGATACTAAGGTGGTTCAGCGTCTGATGTTGAATTACAAGTTCATCCAGTTGCCTTGTAGTAAAAACTGCGGTGAAAGGAAGAAGACTAATTTCGTTTGGCAGTCGATATCGAAGCTTGTCATTGCAATGGATCGTCTTGGGGAGCCTCGTTTATCCTTGACATTCTGAAATTGAGTCTCCTGTCGCTCCGCCTTGCGGAGCCTTATTTATCATTGATATTCGATGATTGAGTTCTCTGTCCCATAGATGGCGTCTTCGTAAGGGGAGATGTCATCGACCCTACCCAATGCAATGTATTTATGATATGTAGGTAATGATTATAAAAATACTCTCATTGCTCGAATACATGGGTTTTTACTACCCTAAAATCAAAAACTTTTTGAATTGAATCAAATATAGGGCCTTCCAACAGGGACTTCCGAACTTTGACAATTGATAACGACCATCATGTTGAAGCTACATCTGTCAAATTATTTGTAATTTTTTTAAGATAAAACACCAGCACTACAGGGAAAATCTTTATGGCGCTCTAAGAGCGGTGCTTGTACGGAAACAGCGTCCACGTTGTATTTGAATCGCAGGAGATTAAACAGTGAAGTTCGAGGTGTACCGAGTTGTACCTCAAAACGATGCGCAGCCACAGTCCGTCGCGTATTTCTGATGCGTATCGCTCTTGGTCAGTCTATTTTGCCTAATCACTATGGGCCGATATAGCAAACAACAACATGTCCTACTAATAAAATTATTTTATCAAAATGAGTGTTCTGTCTGCTCACTTCGTTTATTTTACGGTCGTCATATTCGTCCTTCCGAGAGGACTATTTGCAATGTGCTGGAGTCCACTGGTTTAGTAAACGATCGACCACCACCCGTACGTCAACGAAACGCAAAATCTGTCGCAGTCGATTTCGCGTCGCTCACAAGAACTAAGCCGTTCCCAGACCACAACTTGGCGAATTTTGCGTCGTGACTTGGACCTGCACCCGTACAAAATTCAACTGACCCAGGAACTGAACGTAAACGATCATAGAAAACACTAAATGGGCTCTGGAGCAGTTGGTAACTGACCTTGATTTTCGTCGACAAAATATTTAGCGATGAGGCCCATTTCTGGATGAATGGGTCCGTGAACAAACTTAATTGTTGAATTTGAAACTATACATGAGATTAAAGAGTGTTCAATGCATCCCGCTAAAGTCACTGTTTGATGTGGATTTTGGGCTGGTGGAGGCATCGGTCCATATTTCTTTGAGAACGAAGTTAGCCATCACTGTCAACGCCGAACACAATGAGTCGATGATCACCAACTTTTTTTGGCCCGAATTGAATCATCTGGACACAACGACATGTTGTTTCAAAAAGAATGCGCTACGTGTCACACAGCTCATGCCACAGTGAATATTCTGCACGAGCGATTTGAGGGCATGTCCACCTCAAGTGGAGGTGATGTGAACATGCCACCCAGATCGTGTGATTCGACTCCATTAGACTTTTTCTTGTGGGGTTTTCTCAAGTCCCAGGTGTATGCGAATAAACCACAAACCACCGTGGGCAAATTGAGAAAAGGTAATTCTTCAGTAACACTTCTTGTTAAAAATTTTGCTGTTATATTTCAAAACAAAATATCTAAGGATTTTGAATGCAAATATATTCCTTTTGGTCGATATTTTTCGATCTCTCTCCCAAATAAGTTCTCAAATCCTTTAGGAAAACTATGAAAATATCACCCAAAATCATAAAATGTCTTTGCAATTATTTTCGCCGACAAATGTTACATCGACTAACATTGAGCTAATAAATACTTACTTTTATGTATATGTAGTCATGATTTAGAAATTGACATGCTTTTTTGGAAGTAGGAATATCAAGAAACCGAAGAAGAAGCAAGGAAGATGGTGCAAAAAGGAAACTCATGGGCCGTTATCGTAATCGCTCATAATTTTTCTGATGCTATGAGGTCCAGAGTTGAGTGGGGAAGAGATACACCTCCGGAGGATATTCTTAGTTCGACTATTAATGTCTACCAAGATAAATCCAGTAAGTAGTTAGCTCACGACTGTTTACAGAAAATGATTAAAAGTTTGAAATGAAAATATATTTTTTATTCCAAAAAATTGGAAATGCTCAAGAAATGTTTTAATTTCACATTGTATAAATCATCACTTTTCGTTACAGATCTGTTCTTAGGAAGCATGATAATAATATTCTTGTCATTCAATAAATTAGAGGAAGATTATAGTTATGATAACGTTTGTTGAAATTGTGAATTTTTGAATTCTATACTATTTTCCTTTTCATATATATTCGATCTTTTCACAGATGAAAACATAGCAACTTATCTTTCAAGGGACTTGTTATTCGGATTCGTGGATTTTCTCAGTTCCTACTTAGTTTCCTGTGAAATAGATCCAAAAATCGCTGGACTACCAATACGGGTGAGATTCCAATTAATATAAGGTATATCATTTTTTCAATAAACAGCATGTAATATTTTTCAGTGGGAACAGCCAATATATGGATTTGAAGAACCAGATTTCACAAACTTTGCTGCACCAGGTGTAACATTGACGTGAGTAAAATCATAATTGATTTTCTGCAACAAACGTTAATCCAAATCCTATAACGGGTAACCATAATTAAATATCGTCTCCAACACAAACTATATTGTTAACATGATACTATATGGATATTGTCACAGAGCAATGGTGCAGAAATTCAAAAATAGTATTTGATTATTTTATTGAATTGTTTCTGCCATAATGCCTGGCTGGGCATGTAGATTAAGTTTGTAACAGTTTCCCACAGGAAGACCAGGGCTAGAAGCCTCTCGACTGGAGGATCAATGATTGCGTTAGATGTACTTCCAAATGTACCTGAACTTGGGTCTCAGCCAGCACGTAGCTCCCTTCAACAAAAAATGTATTATCAGCTAATACTATAACAATATTGTTACAAAGCAGTGGTGTATAAATTTGAAAATAGTATATGACATTTCATTAAGTGTTTTGTGCGGTAATGCCTGGCTGGACATGTAGTTTCAGTTTTTGCACCGCTTTCCACAGGAAGACCAGAGCAAGGAGTCTCTCGACTTGAGGTTCTATAATGGCGGTTTCCTCCTCTCCACAGAGACCGTCAGTTTTAAGTACTTCCAAATGTACCTAAACTTAGAAAAGTACGAACTCTTGGAAACCGGAATGTTTCGATGTAGCGTTAAAAAAGGCCAAAAACACTCTGTTTCGTTTTGTTTCGAAAAAAAAAGTATTGTTGTGACCACTAGTGGCTCATACCTAACGAATTCTTTCGGGAATAATAATGTTTGTTTCTACTTTTCAAACTGATCGATTTGAAAATCCGAGCAGATGAAATATATAGGACATATCCAATGGGCTTGTTTCATGCTATGGAAAATGATACTGGTTTGCTTATAGCAGGGGAGCCCACGATGCAAAATGGGGATTTACTCGAGCGTCATTGAGACATATTAGGTTGCAAAGCTTAGATGATAAGAAGAAAAAAATGTTACTAATATATACCTTTTCATCAGTGGGGGAAGCGGATATAGATTTTTAAATATGTAAAAAAATACTGTTGCATGGACATACTCGAGCACGTCAGATATTGTCCTACGCATTTTTAATAATGTTGGTATATTAATCTGATCGTTTGCATGATGTGTGTGGTTGTACGTAAGGGTTAAAAGTGAAAAAAAATTAATCGAGCGCGACAGATTTTCTAAGGGGGTGTTAAGTGCAACAAAAAAAGATCTCATTCAATAATCTGATGATTTCGATCTGACGCAAATTCGCGGCCATTATTATAATGTGCAAAAATAATTCGCCATTTTGAAATACTCAAACGCGTCAGATTAGGATATATATGGTTCATCTTTATGTTTTAGACGTGCTGACGTGCTTACTGTATAAGTTTGAAAATGTCCTTATAGGACGAAACTTCAGTAACGTTACTTACAAATAAAATTGGTGAAAAACATAGAAAGTTTAATTTCTCTTTTCTTCATTATGATTTTCTACTACGTAGTAACGGCTACATCCATCAATTAATTGATGCATTGATCATCATCTTTATCTTCATCACGAACGAGTCTCTGTGATCAGCTGTGATGGCGTCATGGCAACATGTACCGGATTATGTATGCGTTTTTTTTTTGTTCTGTGGGATATTATACTTACCAGAGTCGCCGGACGGCGACTATCGAAAATAATTTCTGGTTCTCTTTCATCGGCCTCTTGTGCTTGACTTTCTCTCTGAATCTGTAGTTGTGCCTCGTGGAGATCAAAGAGCTGGGTTGAGAGGTTTCAGTAGATTATTCTATCGAGTACGTTACCTTTGGTTCCGTAGTTTGTAAGTTTTTACGTACTGGTCTCAGACAGTGGGGAAATGTAGGATAGTAAAAAGTAGGATTGTCTTGTTTGAAAGCCGTTATACCTACGTCTACGTTCTATGATGGAGCAGAAGTTGTGTCGAGCGGTCTTCGCCAGCTCGAACATATGTGTGACATGTGATATGAATGTTAGTTTCCTGTCGAGGGTAACATTCTGATATTCTACTTCTTTCGTCCAACGAATGTCGTGTCCGCTGAGACGATCTGTTATTTCAGTTGCGCCATCCTCCGGGTGAGTAGTATCGCTTGATACTAGTCTTCCAGAGATTGGCCTACTCCTCTAATCTGTCCCCTTGTTATAGATAATTCTGTGCCTAGCGCATAGCTGGTACATCTGGCCGGCAGATCTATGTCGTCCGCTTAGAGAGCCAACTTCTTGAAGTTGTTCTCTAACTTGGACACGTCTGAAGTGAACACCGGAAAGAGTTATATTTTATTGACAGCGACTTGTAAGACTGGTTCCAGAACTCGCATGGTGGAGAGTTTGTCCCAGTTGAAATATTCAGTAGCATAGTCGACTACTTTTAATCAAGCGTTTCAGCCTGAATTCAAACTGTTAGTACGGTAAACTGTTCAGCTCTCCGGTCTGGTCTGAATAACGCGCCACAACTATGTTCATCGATAGAGACAAGCTTATTGGTTGATAACTGTCGGGAAAAGTGAACTTTTTGTTGGCTTTGGGAAATGCGATGGCCGTGGCTTCCTTGAAGGAATGCGAAAAGTATTGCAGTTGGATATATTGGTCTATATCATTTTGTGGGTTGAGCTACCCAAGTATGTTGTCTATTCCAGCGAGGTATAGTTTCCAGTTTGCTCTTTTCACTTCTGAAATGAGTAGGCTTCCGCTACAAGTCCTCGGAGAGATAAAATTGAAATTAGGCGATGGTCACTGCCGTTACAAGTGCGGGATAACTTCCATTTCTATTTGCGGCAGTAGGGTGGGGTCGGAAATACAAAGATCTATGACGCTTGAATTGCCTGTGAAGGAATCGAAAGGGTTTTTTTCGCCGTTGTTAGGAATAATCGGTTTTTTTTTTCTAAGTGATTCGGCCGTTAGGCGGGATAGGCCGTACAAGTGCGGGATAACTTCCATTTCCATTTGCGGCAGTAGGGAGGGGTTGGAAATACAAATATCTATGACGCTTGAATTGCCTATGAAGGAATCGAAAGGGTTTTTTTCGCCGTTGTTAAGAATAATCAGGTTTTTTTTTCTGATTGATGACGTTACTTGATGAAGATCCATAGTAATTTCAAAAACTACACCTCACGATCTGATATCCAAATCGTGAAGTGTAGTTTTCGAAAGAAAATAAGTAGGTTGTTCACATCTATTACTTCCTCAAGAGGTCTACCTCTAATGTGTGGTGTTACATTCTCAAGATAAATTATGGCAGTTCAAATCTCCCAAAATTGATCTGGGTTTTGGTATTTTTTCAAGAAAAGAATACAAGCACTACAGGAAAATCCTTAAGGCGCTCTAAGAGCGGTGCTTGTACGGAAGTAACGATTCACGTTGGCTATGAATCGCTTGAGATTGAGTTCATTTGGAATAACGTTCTCAGGAAGTTTATTCCCCATAAATACAGTTCTCCAAATGGAAGAGTTCTCAAACAGTGACGTTCGAGGTGTACTGAGTTTCACCTCAAAACGAAGAACAGCTACAGTCCATCATGTATTTCTGATAGGCATGTACCGCTCTTGGTGGGATCAAATGTGTCAAGTCACTTGAACACCTCCCGTGAAAGTATCTATGTTCCAGACTTTCAAGGTTGCAAGTGATGTTCGCGTCTCCAATCAGGCGGATGGCTCTTTTCTGGATGCAATCCAGCAGCTTCAGGGTATACTCACGGCGGAGCTCCATATATGATGGCAATACTTCAAAGAAGGTCTGATCTCAGCTTCATAAAACATCAAAAGTTGCTGAAGTGTGTATAATTTTCTGATTCGGAAAAGTGTTCCAAACTTTTGGGAAGCAGCCTTTCCAATTTCAACGACATGATTGTGCCAAGATATATTGGTGTCTATTTTTATCCCCAACAAACTTATCAAAGCAGAAAGCGGAATTATCTCTCTCGACATTATTGTATCCGGTTCGAAGATAGTTATCTTTTTGGGGAAAATCGATGCCTGGGGTTTTGTGGCATTGAATTGCACTTGGTTACTTTCATCCCAATTCGAAATCACCTCTAGACCCTCATTAAGATATGTAACTTCCTGCTCCCGGTGAAGATGTTCTTGCGCAGTCGATGTCCTGGATTCCAAATGGAATGATGAGATAACTGTGCTGTCGTTAGCAAAACAATATATTGAAATCTTGATTTTCTTTAGTGAGTCGTTAATATACAATAAAAGAAGGATTGAAAACAATGTGGATCCTTAGGGATATTCAGCGTTGATGATAAAAGTATTCGAGAGATATTTATCGACGGCCACTTGTAAGGAAAGTTCTTTCAGTGAACTTGAGAGCCGAACACAAAAATGATTCATCAAACCATGCCACATACGGTCAAAGGCCTTGAAATATCAAACGCAACAGCTCCTAACTCTCCATTTTTTTTTATTGCGTTATTCCTTCCTTTTGTAAGGTAGGTTGAGAGGTCTGCAAAATACTGATGCGAGTTCATTTGGCACACCTTTTAGGTACGATGACGGGCACTTTATCAGGACCGGACGCTTTGTTGACATTGAGCTGTTTCAAAATTTGCCTGACTAGGCATTTTCGAAAAGTAATTTCCGGAATTGTGGAATCTAATGTTGGAATAGTGGGTGGTGTCTTTCACAGAAAATCGACTATGGAATGGGACGCAAATTATTCAGCTGGTAGATTTGCTTTTTTTATGCCTGTTGTTGCAGTTCAACCATTCTCTTGTGTTAGTGGTGGAATTGTAGATTTTGTGAAGTTTTGATTGACAGCTTTAGCTACCGACCAGGAGGATATAGACCCGTTGAGATTGCCAAGCAGTTTATTCCTAATTCTGTGAATGTGAAGTTTTTTGTTTTCATTTGCCACTGCTGGTAGGCGAGATTTTTGCAGACTAGCATATTCTCCATCACGGTCAGGAATCCTGGTTGGCTCATTTATAATTTGAGTAGGTCCGTTGCTTATTACAGAAGCCTCAGCTTCGTGACCTTCTCGTAGATATTTGAAAATTTGAGCCATTCGATATTGTGGACATTGAAGTCACCAAATATGGAAATTTCGAAACTGGGATGATTGATTTGCAGAAAGGCAAATGATGTTTGCGAGTAAAGAGAATAGTGCCCCATATTGTATATCGCTTGGTGGTCGATAAACGCAGCATATGAATTCAGTGAACTTCTGTAAACCACATAATATCAGAATTTTGGTGTTCCAGCATTTTCTCTTGTTGACACGAGATATCGTTTCGGATTAAAAGACGTATTAATTGAATAAAAATGGCCGATACTTAATGAACATACATATTAAAACTAACGAATACACTTTATTGTATGATTTTCACTGTAAAATGAAAATCATACAATGAAGTGTATTAGTTAGTTTTGAAAAGACGTATTCCAAAGTTACGTTGTTGCAAGTATGTTGTAGTGAATGGTCAAGTTATTTTTACGCGAAGTCGTAATTGGGTGATATGTAGATGTTAGGTTAGGTTAGGTCTATTCAACCCTCCACCGCAACCCGCATGGGTTTATTGTGGCTCACACATATTTACACTCGACCAAATAAACCCAGCTTCTTAACGACGCCGATTAGTTTGTATCGTGAGTGGTCTTTCAGATCAGACGGCTCTGCGGAACAACAGAGCACATACTTTGTGCTTGCCCCGCTGTGCCGCTGTGTCTGCTCTGCTGTTTCATCATTTTTGAAAAAGAGGCGACACACACTGTCTTTCGACAATCCGAGTCTCTACATATGATGATTCAAATGACAATGACCTGTAAGAAGGCCTGTTAGACATCGTAGTTCATCCCTACTGTAGCCCAACAACTGTTTGGTATCAAGTTTTAAAAGGTTGATAAACACCTTGGAGTGAGCCAATTCTGAAAGATTCTGCCAGAATTCCAAAATCTTCTTGCCATCCAGGTGTTCAATGTCTGTTTGGCAAAGCTTAAAGCGATGCCAATGACAGGCTCTGGTCAAATGAAGCTGCTTGCAGCACCCTTCTGTGCAAGGGAGTCAGCAGTCTCATTGGCCAGGAGTCCAGACAAGAGACAACCTGTTAAGTCTTATCGAGGAGAGTCGTTTTTGGCAATTTGCTACCAATTCAGACGTTGCTCGGTAGGAACCAAGAGTTTTCAAGGCCGCTTGACTGTCCAAGAATATTTTTATTGACTTGTGTATAAGGTTGGGTTCTTCCAATCTCTCCGCGCACAATTCAATAGCGTGAATTTCCGCTTGGAATATAGCCGCATAGGTTCCTAGGTAGGTTGATATCTCTGTCCTGGGTTTGCGACTGAAAACACCTGCACCAGAACCGGAAGGTGTTTTTGATCCATCTGTGAACTAACAACTATCTTCTTAATATTTCCTTCTCCCGGAGGATCCAGTCCCCTCTTCTCGATAACAGTACTTTATGAGGCAGTTCGTAGTTGACAGTTGGAGGCATAAATTCAGAGGTAATTTCCAGAATGCTGTGACTTCCTGTGTCAACCAACAGTCTGTTGCACTCTGCATTGAATTGATTTGGGCAATTGGCAATGTACACAAGTATATATGCAGCCCATCTAGCGTCTCTCTCCAGAAAAATGTGGAGAGGAGGTAGATCTAGAAGGAACTCCATGGCCGCTGACAGTGTCATACTGATGGCATCACTATCTAGATGTTACAAATGTAAAGTATTCAAGGAAAACAAATGTTGGTTACTGTAGCTTCAACTTGGGATGTTACTGGAATATCAATTACTTGTAAAGATGACACTATGTACGTGGCGATGCCACCGCTGGCTCCTAGTTGATTTTCTTATTTTTGAAGAAACAATCGTAACTTTTGAGATTGTGATGATATCATGCTGGATATTATATCTCTCAATGCTGGATATTATATCCAGCATTGCCAACCGAATACCATCTAAAAACAGTTTCAGTAAATGAATCAACCTCGCCAGAAACCTTATCATCTTTTTATATGGGTCTTAAATTAATGAATGTGACAAAAAATAGCATAAAATATCATCATCATTATTTATACTTATTTTAGTATTTCTGTTTATAAGAAAAAAAACTTTTTGTTACAGCATTATATTTTTCATGGCAGTAGCTCTGACTTCTGGAGCAATGATTATGGAAAGGAATGAAGGAATTCTGGAGCGTTCATTAGTGAATGGAATAAGTGGCCCTGAGCTTCTCTCTTCTCAAATTATCACCCAATTTGTGGTTATTCTTGGGCAAACAGTAATGGTGCTCTTGGTGGCATTTGTCTTCTTTGGTTTAACACAAAATGGAAGTTGGTGGGTGCTCTTTATACTTACCCTACTAGCTGGAGTCTGTGGAATGTGCTTTGGTAATTCATTTTATTTATTGTCACCTAAATTAGTGATGAGTACACAAAAATGTTTGGAGAGTATTGTATTCGTATTTCAAAAAAATCAACAGATTTTCTGCAGACTAAAAAAACAAAATAATTTTTGAAATATAAAGTGAAACCGAATCTTTAAATATCAATTTTGAGATAAATTGGGTGATGTTCATTTTCAAATGACCTTGTTGGATTCATCATCTTTGTTGAAAATAGTTACTGTACGTCAGCATCTTGCATAAAACTTGTTAATCGGTAATATTGACTGGATAATTATTGGCCCAAATAACTTCGAAATATTCTGGTTTCCTCTTTATATTTTATATTCAAACAATTTTTTTCCCAGAAAACAAATATTGACATACATACGGTTCTATTGAGAACTTTCCCGTTTTCGAAGGTTGTTTAAAAATATTTATTTTATTTCCGTTCTGAAATATTTGTGAAGTATCTCTAGACATCCCATTCTTGGACGAACCTATTTTTATTCCCTTTGTGAAAATTTTTTCTATTGCGTTTTTTTCTAGCCATTCCTATTCTTCTTCATTTCTTGCTTCTATATAAATAGTTAGGTACTTATTTTACTTCGTTACTTGCAAATAAACTTTTTCTTATTCAGTTTTCGACATCAGTCCTTATTCATGACTAACTTTCCGTAAGACAAATTTTTGTTCAACATGAATTTTTTTCTTTTAAATTCTGACAGATCATCACCCATATGTAGTGTTCTAATATTTGTTAATCAAACTCCTTAATATGCGAGGTGTCTGATATTCTGTAATCTATCAGCTGTGTTCATTATGATATAGGTACACATCTTTTTTTGAATTAGAAAAGTATAACTTTTTATGCTTCCTAGAATCTTTTGAGTATACCTATAACCTTACACCATCTGAAAAATAAACAAAACTGAATCAACATAGAATTGCCGAAGAAATGAAAACAATTTATTTTACAGTTCTGACATGGAAGTAATTGTTTCAACAAGGCTCTGGTTAACATATTTTAATGAAAAATAATTATTTCATTTCGACCCCAATCTGCAATATTATTAGTACTTTGAACGTTTAAGCAATTTTTTGTTTTTTGCATAGATTCAGATCCATATGATAGAAAATTGTTTTAGGTTAAGTATTATTGATTCATAAAGATGACTTTTCAATTCATTGCATTAATACTTTTTCTTTCATATTTTCAGGATTTGTAGTTTCTTGTGTATGTGATAACGAAAGATCGGCAACGTACATGGCTTTGGGTAGTTTCCTTCCAATTGTGATGCTCTGCGGTATAATCTGGCCAATAGAAGCAATGAACAAATATTTGAAAATAATATCTTTCGTCCTTCCATTGACCCAAGCTACAGAAAGCTTGAGATGCGTTCTTGCTAGAGGATGGGGACTAGCAAATCCTGTTGTCTACAATGGTTTCATATCTCTTACTCTTTGGATTTTGATTTTCTTAACAATTAGTATACTAGTACTCAAATTTAAGAAAGGTTAGGGTGTCATGAACTGTGATTTCTAGATTATAATAAATATTGTTTCTTAGTGTTTGTAGGTAATTTAATTCCAGAATAAAAATGTTATTACTTTGATGTAGTTAGATATTACAAATTTTTGGCGAACTCTTAAACAACCTAAAAATCATTTAGCACCGTTAGCATATAACCTTCTGGCATCTATAACTATGATATATTAAAAAAACGTTATCGATAGTGATTGAAAAGTTCTTTGGTATAATTGATGTAATAGTTTTAAGAAATCACTGCCTTTATTATATTGTTGGTATTGTTGAGCTCCAGTGTTGAATATGGTTTCAAATATTATTATTCGGTAGTTACTCAGTAGTCAGTCAACTTCAGTAAAAAACTGTTAAGTTGACAGATCATTAAAAAAAATTATGTCGGGACTAATTTCTTCATGCTGTCGATTAGAAGAATAATATGTATACTGGGTTCTGGACTGAAAAATACTTCTGATAACTAAGAATTCAAAATTATTTTTTATTTAACCCATTAACCGCCTAAGGTGCGTACATGCAACTTTTCTATGCATATTTTTTGTGGTTTGAATCAATATTATTTATGTTTATTCTGATGGATATTCATAACAATAATATAGAAAAAGTAAAAATATTTTTATTCAATCCAAAACATGATTTTTTCAATTTCTGAAATTTACTTGAAAATGTTATAAATTGAGCGTTCTTGTAATTCTCCAATAAAAGCTATTTTGTCGATACTGAATATAAAATGATAAATTCATTTCTTGCTGAACAGTAATGAAAAATATGCTCAATGATAACGTGTGCCTATTTTAATTTATGTAAATATTTTCGGATGTCGTTCATATTTGCATGTACTTGATGCTTGCGTATAGACCACCTTTGGCCGATAATGGTAAACATTTTCATGCACTAGTATGCGGGTTTTGACAAGTTTGGGAATACGATGGTCAGTTGATCATTAGCTTTGATTGAATTTAATTCAGTGCAAATCAGTATCGGCGGCAGGAAAGATTTCTCGTATTTTTTGTAAAAAATTGTCAACATGAGGTAAGAATTATAACTCGAGTGTAGATTTTGGTATTTCATTATCATTATTTATTCTCATAGCCAGTTTTTGAAATGATAAGTGAAGAGAGCACTGTCGACGCAAGAATTGAACTCTTTATTAGAGGAAGAGTTGGATTATCAAAATTATGATTCGATTGATGTCGTTTATGTGCCGCCGGAAACAGACGAGTTGACCGATGAGGAGAACATTGATGAAAATATAATCGGAGGAGAAACAATGGCTGGGGATATTGCGGGAACTTATGGAATTCATGTGAATAAGGATAGTGATGATTCAGATGATCCCTTTGAGTGAAATAGAAGAACGTGCTGAGACCGATGTTGCCGGAACTTCTGGAATACAATCGAATGAAGGTAGTCATGATTCAGATGACGAGCTCCCTCTGAGTGAAATAGCAAAACGTATTGAATCAGAAAATCAAAAAGCTACGAAATCTCTGAAAAGTGTTATTCCAGAATAGAAAATAATATATATACCTACCTATTCAGGTTCTTCCCAATACCATTCTATTGAACTTTTGAATAACATAAGAGCAGAACATGGCGGCAAGACGCCTTACGAAATCTTTTCATCATTTTTGAATAACGAGGTGACCGAAAAAATTTTGAATTTTTCAAATACCTATGCAACCCAAAAAAACCGGCACGATACTCATATCAACAAATCAGATTTGTTGACTATCTACATCAGCTCTACTAGATGATATAAGATTTGATAATGTCGGACATGTGATTATTACAGATATCAACAGTGCGAGAAAAAAATGATGATTTTGTAAAAGTAACACCATTTATTTATGTAGGAAATGCAAAGTGCATGTGCACCCAGATTGTTTCGAAAATTATCATATGAAGAAATAGGGCACCTACTCTATTTTTTTTTATTCGATTATTTTAACCATTTTTGGCCAAAGGTGCGCTTACGCACCCACTTGTTTTTTTTTCAATACTGTTAGCTTATATTTTTTTAATGACGAATTGTTGTTTTTTTTTGAGTATTTTAAACGTGCCACAATAAATATTTTTTCTAAATTACAAATTTCTAATGTCTTGAACGTTAATGGGTTAACTTCACTTTGACGTCTATCTTATTTGTAAGATCGCTAAGGCAATTGCAGAGAGTGAATTAGAGTATTCTTCTGAAACTATGATGTACGATTTTAATTCCGGTGATTTTAGTTTTGCGATCAGAAAAAATATTTTAATTTTTCTTCAAATAGGCAACTTTTATCCTATTGTAATGTTTGTACTATAACAAATATCTTGACAAGTTTCTCGTGAAAAAAAACTGAAAATGGCCACAGCCAGTTTCATAACATACTGTGGTAAGAGAAAAGCAGCAATATTTTCCAGGGTCTTGTGTTATAAAGTAAAGTTGATATGTTTGAAAAACATTTAAACTCATTTATAATAACCGCTCTTGAAGGGACATAATAGACGATAATTGATACGACAAAGATGTTATATGTATGTTTATTACCCTGTATTATAAATAGTAAGCTAGGGTGGTTGTCATTACGGCAGATAACAAGAATAGAGGTACAACTAGAAGGTACAAAAACTGTTAGAAGAACTAATAATAGGGGAACCCAAGCGGGGATTTCGAGATTTACTAAAGCGCGGCAGAATAATATACAGGGGGATATCTTGTACCCGGTTAAGTACCTCCACCAAATATGAGCCCCATATATAAGGCCGCCTGTGAGGGATAAAGGATCAGATTAGTAAAAAAAATTGATCATCAGAAATTTTCGAGCGCGTCAGATGAAGGTAGGGCGAGTTAATTACCTACTAAAAAGTGTATATTCCAGTAATCTGAAAATTTGAGAGTGACGTAAAGAAAGGGGAGGGCAGCAAAGTTGTAAAAAAATAACGTCATTTCGGCATTCCCGAGCGTAGCTATTTTTTTTTATTTTGAAGGAAGAAATTCAAGGATAAAGAAGAATATATAATCTGACGATTTCCGCAAGCCGAAATAACTAAAATTCGACGATAAAGTTTGATGCGTGCAGCTGTGTGATACCTATATTTCCCTCTTCGAGTTTCTATTCCTCTATTCACTATTCACTTTTTCTCTATCTATTACTCTCTCACTCCGTGTCCACTGTGAATTCTGTTGCCATGACGCCATCACAGCTGATCACAGAGACTCGTTCGTGATGAAGATGAATATTATGATTGATTAATCAATTAATTAATGGATGTAGTCGTTACTACCTGGTAGGAAATCATAATGGAGAACAGAGAAATTAAACTTTCAATGTTTTTTAACACTTTCATTTGTAACTAACGTTACTGCAGTTTCGTCCTATAAGAACATTTTCAAACTTATACAATATATAAGGACATTTTCAAACTTATATCATACTGCAGTTTCGTCCTATAAGGACATTTTCAAGCTTATACAATATATAAGGACATTTTCAAACTTATAGAATATATACGTTTAAAAATGTCCTTATAGGACAAAACTGCAGTAACGTTAGTTACAAATAAAAGTGGTAAAAAATATAGAAAGTTTCATTTCTCTTTTCGTCATTAATTAATCAATCAATTATAAAAAATTAGGTTTGTTTTTAAAATTATTTTCTTATAAATACAAGTATTCTGCTTAAAAAACATACACTTATTTATTTGCATGCTATTTCCATTAATTAAGTTCAATGAATTGAAGAAAATTTAAAAAAATATTGTTTTCGTCAGATTAAGCGAATCCCTCTAGATAATCTTCAGATTATGAGACAGCACGTCTAAAACATAAAGATGAACCATATATATCTTAATCTGACGCGCTTTAGTATTTCAAAATGGCGATTTTTTTTGCACATTTTAATAATGGCCGCGAGTTTGCGTCAGATCAAAATCGTCAGAATATTGAATGAGAGCTTTTTTTTGTTGCACTTAACGCCCCCTTAGAAAATCTGACCCACATCATGCAAATGATCAGATTAACATACCAACATTATTAAAAATACGTAGGACATTGATGCTATCAATATCTGACGCGCTCGAGTATGTCCATGCAACAGTATTTTTTTACATATTTGAAAATCTATAGCCACTTTCCCCACCGATGAAAAGGTATATATTATATAACATTTTTTTCTTCATATCATCTAAGCTTTGCATCCTAATATGTCTCAATGACGCTCGAGTAAATCCCCATTTTGCATCGTGGGCTCCCCTGCTATAAAAGATAATGAAATTTGTTACCGTTTAGGTATTGATGTTTTAAGAGGCTTATAACATAGTGTCAGAAGTAGCTACTCATCTGTGAGAATTTCATCCCATAATTCAAGAAAAGTATAAAAAATTTATTTGACATTTGGTAACGAACCCCCCGAGCCCGTTAACTGATTGAGACATTAGAAATTGGTTAATTTGGAAACAAAAATTCGAAATATATCTGAAGGCATCTAATAACGTAGACATTCTTCTCACTTGTATTGGCGACGAGGGCTTGGATATATAGGTATAATACTTTTAACGAAGATCAGAAATCAACACTTGTGAAACTACTGGCTGCCTTTGATGACTATTTTCTACCGAGAAATACAAGATATGAAGAGAGAATGATTGGAGATCGTCTGATTGTTGGAATACCACAAGACAAACAAATTCAATCCAGAATAAAAAGGGATTCGGATATAAGTGTAGGGAAGATTAATGGAGTATTGTAAATCTATCAAAATAATTGAAGACCATCCGAAAACACTTAAACCTGAAAAAGAAGTTAAAGCTGTGAAGAAAATTCAAAAATTCCGGTATAGGAATTGTCTTTATGAACATATCCCAAATAAACGGACATTTTGCAAAAGCGTATCATTACAACCTTTTTTTTGGGTAATTGTTACCTTCCACAATCTGAAAAAATATAAAAATTATAATGGAGAACTTTATACAAGTGTAGAAGGGCAAACTTTTTAGTTTACCCCGATAAGTTACTGCGTAAAAATCAAAGTATTTTTCACAAAGAAAAATCTTCTATTTATCAGTAACTTGTCGTATTTCACAATTTTGCCTA